GACACTTGACTTAATTAAAATGCATCAACCGTGTGTGTAGCCGTGATGGTCTCTATTCAGTGGAGTCCAGGAAGTGAACACGGTTTAGGTTATGTTTGAACGTAAGTAGTTTCAGGATCACTTCTTGATCAGTTCTAGCTTCACGACCATGGCGTAGTTTCTCATCTTACTCTTGTATTCGTATGTTAGTCGCCATATTTGCTTAGTGCTTGCTGCAACTCCACCTTATAACCACATCCTACCTATAAGCTTAAATAGTTTTGATCTCGAAGTTTTTGAGATTGTTGAGCCCTCGTGACTCACGGATACTACCAAAACAGTTGTAGGTGTCAATGATACCAGTGCAGGTGATGCTACCAAACTCAAATGGGAGTTCGACGAGGACCTTGGTCATTACTATGTTTCATTTCCTGATGATCGGTAGTGGAGCCCAGTTGGGACGATTGGGGATCTAGCATTTGGGGTTATCTTTTTTTCATTTGGATTTGTCCATAGTCGGACTATGTGTGTACTCTGAATTATGTATGAATTATATGATCTTTGTGTGAAGTGGCGATTGTAAGCCAACTCTATTTATCCCTTTCTTGTTCATTACATGGGATTGTGTGAAGATGACCCTTCTTGCGACAAAACCACAATGTGGTTATGCCTCTAAGTCGTGCCTCGACACATGGGATATATAGCCGCATCATGGGCGTTACAGTCCAATAGTTCGTTCCCTGAAAACACAACCAGCACAATTATCTAGGAAGTCCCTAGAAGCATCGGTTAGTCCATTGTAGAAGATATCAAGTATTTCATTTTTCTTAAGAGGATGATCAGGCAAAGCATTAAGTAATTGGCAAAGCCTCCCCCAAGCTTGTGGGAGACTCTCTCCTTTAGTTTGCACAAAGTTAAATATTTCTCGTAAAGCAGCTTGTTTCTTATGAGCAGGAAAATATTTTGCAGAGAAGTAGTAAATCATATCCTGGGGACTACGCACACAACTAGGAGCAAGAGTATTGTACCAGGCTTTAGCATCACCCTTTAGTGAGAACGGAAATAATTTGAGAATATAGTAATAGCGAGTTTTCTCATCATGAGTAAAAAGGGTGGCTATGTCATTCAACTTAGTAAGATGTGCCACAGCGGTTTCGGTTTCATAACCATGGAAAGGATCAGATTCAACCAAAGTAATTAACTCTGGGTTGGCAGAGAAGTTATAATCCTTATCATCAATAAATATAGGTGAAGTAGCAAACTTAGGATCATACTTCATTCTAGCATTTGAGATTTTTCTTTATACTTGCATAATAATTTCTCTAGATCATCTCTATCCTTACAAGCAAGAATATCTCTAGTTGTCTCCTCATTCATAACACAACCTTCTGGTACCTTATGCAATTCATATCTAGGAAGGCTAGTTCTAGCAGGTGTTTCAGGAGTTTCAGTTTCAAGCTCATCATCAGATTCAACAACATCATGTTGTCTTACTCTAGCAATTTATTTATCAAGAAAGTCACCAAGTGGCACATCATCATCATTAAGCAAGGTACTAGCATCATCATAAGCATTATCCATAGCAGAAGCAGCATCATCAATAACTTGCAACATATCAAAATTGATAGCATGTGGTGGTGTTGCAAGTTTACTTATAACAGAAGGTGAATCTAAAGCAGAACTGGATGGCAGTTCCTTACCTCCCCTCGTCTTAGAGGGAAAAATCTTGGTCTTAGCATCCTTCAGATTCTTCATAGTGAATAATTGATAATAATCCCAAGTGACTCAAGAAATATATCTATGCTCCCCGGCAACGGCGCCAAAAAAAGGTCTTGATAACCCAGAAGTATAGGGGATCACAACAGTTTTCGAGGGTAGAGTATTCAACCCAAATTTATAGATTTGACACAAGGGGAGCTAAAGAATATTTGAAGGTATTAGTAGCTGAGTTGTCAATTCAACCACACCTAAAGATTAATTATCTGCAGCAACGTGATCAGTAGCACAGTAGTATGATAGTTTTGATAGTAGTGATAGCAGAAATAGTAACAGTAATAGTGATAGCAGTATTTGGGTAGCATAGCAGAAACAATATAGGATAAATTCATAGGCATTGCATCGGTGACTTGTTGGACGATATTCATCATGAGACAGTTATAACCTAGGGCGATACGACACTAGCTCCAGTTCATCAATATAATGTAGGCATGTATTCCGTAAATAGTCATACATGCTTATGGAAAGAACTTGCATGACATCTTTTCTCCTACCCTCCCATGGTTGCGGGGTCCATATTGGAAACTAAGGGACATTAAGGCCTCCTTTTAATAGAGAACCGGAACAAAGGATTAGCACACGATGAATACATGAACTCCTCAAACTACTGCCATCACCGGGAGTGGTCCCGACTATTGTCACTCCAGGGTTGCCCGATCATAACACGTAGTGGGTGACTATAACTTGCAAGATCGGATCTCGAACATTGATATAATGGTGATAACATAAACGGTTCAGATCTAAAATCATGGCATCCGGGCCCAAAGTGACAAGCATTAAGCATGGCAAAGTCATAGCAACATCAATCTTAGAACATTGTGGATACTAGGGATCAAGCCCTAACAAAACTAACTTGATTACATGATGAATCTCATCCAACTCCTCACCGACCAGCGAGCCTACGAAGGAATTACTCACTCCCGGTGGGGAGCATCATGGAACTGACGATGGAGAAGGGTTGGTGATGATGAAGAACGAAGATCCCCCTCTCCAGTGCCCCAAACGGACTCCAGATCTGGCCTCCCGATGAAGAACAGGAGGTGGAGGCGGCTCTATCTCGTGGATCGTGATAATTCTTTCTCCCTGATTTTTTTCTGGAAAAATAGAATTTTATAGTATGGGGTTCGTCTGCGGGGCCACCTGGTGGGGACAACCCACCTGGGCGCACCAGGAGGGGGGCGCGCCCTGGTGGGTTGTGCCCACCCAGGTGCCCCCTCTGGTGGATCTTGGCTCCAGAAATTCTCTTTTATCGTATAAAAACTCCTCGCAAAGTTTCGTTTCATTCCAAGAACTTTTATTTCTGCACAAAAACAACACCATGGTAGTTCTGCTGAAAACAGCGTCAGTCCGGGGTTAGTTTCATTTAAATCATGCAAGTTAGAGGCCAAAACAAGAGGAGAAGTGTTAGAAAAAATAGATACGTTGGAGACGTATCATTCAACATGTTCACATCGGCAGACAGCGGCTCCGCGGCGAGCGCACAAAGGCGCAAGATGAGAACGAACCACTAGAGGCAGTGCCTTAATGCTACCGAAACTATTGAACTAGCCCGGTGGCCAAGTGACACTATCCGACCGTTGTTCCGCCCGGGTTCGATTCCACCTTATGCAAGGAAAATATCTGCAAAAAAATTTTGCCTCTGCCATTATTGATATGTGGGTCCCCATTGTCATCTACGCACACCACGTCCAACACTTGCCAAAACTTCGTCCTTCGTTTTATCTGTTTTTCGCACACTCGATATTGTGTGGGCATTTTAAAAATAGCATATCTTTTTAATTGTGCATTATATGAAGATGTGCTATGCATGAATGATGATCAGCATGATGTTAACTGGCTGGTAGTTCCATTTTCGACCATGAATAAAACTTCCAACATGATGTTATCCCTGTTTGAAAAGGGTATGTTAATATAAATGCTCTGCCTCTGAAACTGAAACTTACAGTTTCTTCTCTGAGAACCACATTGTCTGCACTTTTATACTCCTATGAAATTGCATTTTTAAGTGCTAAATATAGATCTCTAGAATTCATAAAATACTTCATATGCTCAATATTGCAAATCTGAAAATCAAAATACATTCATATCTGAAAGTACTCTTAAAATATACAACACAAAATACAATTCACAACCTGCAATACTGACAACCCTAAGCTCTTCCTGACAATTCACAACCTGTCCGACTATTGGGCGGGGGGGTATTTACTTATCCACTCTTTCCTTTTTCTTCTCTGTCACAGACTTGAGGTCCCCTCTTTCCATCCTTACTTTCCTTTCTTTTCCTTTCTTATCAGGATAACTTATTATTTCCTTCTTTATTGATTCCCGAAACTGCTCCTTGATGCCCAGGAAACTCAAAGATATTTTTAAATTACGAATTTTGGATTGAAGGGAGCGATGTGGGACTATTTAAAATGTGTATGAACCTCAAATAATAGCACAACGGGAGCTAGCTTAGTTGGTTGAATCATGATTTGTTGGGCACGAGATTGCGAGTTCGATTCTGCGCACTATTATTTTTGCACTGTTGGGCTGGGTGGGCCGAAAAAATTGGTGGGTTGTTCACCTTCGAGTGGGCTTGAAAAAACAGAACGTGGATTTAAAAGATCGAGCAACTCGATCGAGTCTGACGGACGACGGACGAAAATTTAGGAGGAAGAAGCGATCACCCTTTTATTGGTAAAAAGATAATTAAACTTTGTAAGCATACATCTCTTACAATTAAAGTAGCCACCATACAATTGGAATAAAATGTTGCAGAACAATGTACCAAAAATAAGGGTGAAATGCAAACTGATTCAAGGGTAAAAAAACATGCAAGGATTTCTTCATGTTGGCGGCTCGCCTGTAGAGACCAACAATTATCTTTGCTTCACAGCTTGCTAGCAATATCAGTCAAGAGCGTCCAATTTGCCGAAAAAATTGAAATAGTCAGCAACACACTGGAATTCTTAAAATCTGAACCCTACAAACAAACAAATATATGTTTGTATCATGAAAAACTTCAGATACGACTTTGGCATCTTTTAAGCAACATTACACCTAAGGAGCTAGCAATACTATGGAGATCAGGAAATGGTTAAATATGCAATGCAACAAAATTAAAATGTGTAAGTAAATATTCTGAACAAAATAAGGCACTGTTAGACACAACAAACTTAGATGATTGCAGGCAAATTGCATCTTGTCATGGCAATAAACTCAAGAATCAACTGGAACAGCATTAGCCTGTTCAGTATTGTAGTTCAGCTGCGCCTACCAGAATCACTAAAATCTAAAACTATTGTTGCCTGCTCTCTGATTTCCGAGTGACATGGTTCAATTCCTGCAAAGAAAACAGCACATTGGCAAGGCAATCAACACAGGAAAATGCAAGTACTTTAAAACTAACATGAGAACAAAAAGAAGGGTACTGTGAATAAAATGTACTGCTCAGGAGCGCGCCACCACAGGGGGAAGGGTAAAATACGATTGACATTGACCAATGAACTGGTACCTTTGCAACAACCTAGTAAGAAAATCCCACCCAATAACTCAACAACTCTTCAGTGAACCCAATATCTACACACAATATCATCAGGGTCAATTATCCAAATGAGCCAACTAAAAGAAACGGCAATAGGGAAACAACAAACAACAGCAGGAGCAGCAAGGCAGAAAAAAACAATAGCAGAAATTGTAGGCCATGAGCAGCAAGGGCCGGCCACGAGCAAGACATGCGCAACGGCCGGCAAGCAACAGTAGCAACACGGCACACAGCAAAAATAGCAGCAAGAGTCGGCCACGATCAGGACGCATTCGAGAGCCGTCCACGAGCACGACACACTCGGGGCCGCCGACGGCAAGAGAAAGCAACACTTCCATGACGCGGGGAGACGCACGAGCACGCGAGTCCAGCAAGACAAAGCAGCAGCGTCATGAAGGGGCAGTGGGAGAAGGTGAGCTGGAGAGAGGACCTACCGGCTACCGGAGATGGTCACCGTCGTCCGCTGGACCTGGACGGATCTGACGGGAAGGGGAGGGGACGGCCAGGATCTGGTCGTCGCCGCCGGCGTCAGCGGCGAGTGTGTCAGCGGTGAGGCTGCCGCTTGCCTCCTTCTGGCCGCCTTCCGGTGCCTGCGAGATGTGAGTCAAAAGCCCGTAGAATGCAAAGCTCAGAAGCAAACAGATCGAGAGAAAAGAAAAAGGCAAGCGAGATCTGGCATGTTGCTGGCAGGTGGTGTACCTCCAGGACGGTGGCAGTCTGCGCGAACTGGAGCGGCCTATCCACGGCAGTGAATAGATCCTCGTGCCCTGACCGGGAGCGCGACAAGGAGCACCAGGAGCCACTCTTTAAGGCTGAGTGGCACGATGCCAAACACCTGCACGAGGAACGGCACGTAGAGGATGAGGAAGTGCAGCCCGAATGACACCGACATGGCCAGGAGCAGCCACGGGTTGACCCACGGAGGCATCCTCAGCAGGCTCGTGTCCGTTGAGCGAGTTGAACATCTCGATCGCCACGAGCATGGAGTGTGAGCGTCGTTGCCTTCACTTTGCCGGCCTGGAAGTAGTCGCAGGGGTTGTCGTCGAAGGTGAAAGTTCTAGCACCAGCAATGAAGGGCGCAGCTGTGAAGTTGTCCCAGCTAGAGCACTGGCCCCAGTTCGAGAGCTGTGAGTAACTGACAAGTGTGTCGCCATCTCCAGTGAGATCAATGCCCATGAAAGATCCGTGGGTGTAACAGATGACAAAGATACAAAAGGGTTGTAACCCCCATGTAAAGGCCAATGACCTGCAAGTTATGTGATTAGTGAGAATTATAATCTCGAGAAGAAAGGCAGAGATGCCTAAAACAGATCAAACAGATATGTGGTGATCATTTACCAGGTAACAGAACAAAAACCAGGGAGTAGTCAATGAGTCGTCGCTCCTCCTTGGTGGTTTCTTCATGATGTCCTTGTCAGGCGGATTGAAACCCAAAGCAGTTGCGGAGGGGCCACCGGTGACGAGATTTACCCATAGAAGTTGAACAGGTATCAACCCCTCAGGAATACTCAAAGCAGAGGTAAGGAAGATTGAAGCAACTTCACCAATGTTTGAGGAAATCATGTATCTGCAGCAGTGAAGCAAGGGCCTTCAGAATACTCAAGGAATAGAAGGTTTTCCACCAACTGAATGTGAAGTACCTAAGCAGACACAATCACGCAATCATGCTCGATTGAGGAACATCATTTTTAGCAAGCCATATAGAACAAGCACAAATACGCAAGCAACCACAAAACTGCCAATGAGAAGTGGGAAAAAGGCTCTCAGTGCACAACCTTATGAAAGCTTTCATGTTATTGTAAATAGATCTTCCTTCACCAACTGCGGCAACTATGGTACTGAAATTGTCGTCAGCTAGTACCATGTCAGAAGCCTCTTTGGCAACCTGAAACAATAAAGATTAGATTATTCCAAAAATATAAGCTGAATAAAAGCATGGTTTTGCAAATATCACTCTATTCTTAGAACCTCCAAGTCATGTTCTACAATCTAAACAGAAAAATACTCTTGTTTTGCTGGTTTAAACAGTGTTATCTAGTTAGCATGAAAGCAGTAACAGATGAGGGGACAAGGGCTGGCAATGAGTATCAAGTTTGCTTCGATGGTGTTTTACTGCAAGAGAAAACCAGATGTGCAGTTGATCATATAAAAGGAAAACTCCCAATTAACTATGAAAGACTTCAGATGATCATGAGATCTGCATACAACGGAAAGAAAAATGCGACCAAAGTATTTGTTTCTCTTTCAGGTATTATGACCCCAAAGTCTCCATCTACAGACATATTCAACATAATCTTAGTGTCATCTACAAATATAAGCATACTGATGAGGCACAACAAGGTGAATTCAATAAAAGATTAAATTACTGGAGATAAACAAGGCAATGAAAAACAAAAGATGAACAATCTCTAGAAAAGGAGATGATAGAAAATCAACACCAATTACTATAGCAATATATAAGCAATGGGCAGTAGCAGATTCATAAACAGCAATCATATATTTATATGAAACATAAAGATGCACCTTTTTTTAAAGAGATAGAAGTATAGCCACAATGTGGTCCCGGTGAACCTCAAAGATATAGATTCGCTAACTAATTAGCCTTGCAAGCGCATGATCTGCAATCTCTTAGGAATTCCCCTCAGATTTTCTAAAAGTGGTCCCGGCAGTAGAAGATTTTCTGAAAGAATGGAATTCCCCTCAGATTAGTCATTTTACTGGTATAGAGGCAGCATCATTCAAACAGAATATAGTCCACCAAATTACCAGGTTTCAGGTCACGATGAAATATCCATTATTATGCATGTACACAAGGCCTTGCAGTATTTGGAGCATAAACTTCCGTATCTCTTCTTCAGAGAAAGGAGCACTCCTTTCTCTTATAACATCGTATAAATTACAGTCCTGGAAGGGAGAAATCAGTTACATTTGAGTAGTACCGATGTCCAAGAGAGGAAAGGAAGTTTAAAAACTTGAAAGGCCCCAGCCGCCATAAGATGAATTTCTCACATACAAAATAGGAAATGTTAACCCAAGTAAATACAGTGACGTTAATGATCAAATTCAGACCAGTGTCGAAGACTATTTCCATAAATCAGTTAACTTTTAACAATATCATTATCTAATTATGCTACTAAAACAACTATACAAATGTTCATCATCACGAGAAACAACAGCATTTTTTTGTTGTTTAGCGCTGAACGGAGACACCAAATTATGATGTGAGATCATTTCCTAGATGAACACTGAACATGTAAGCTTGAAATCAAATAAGCTAATGCAAAAGGAAATACAGAAGCGGAACTGGGTCATGGGATGTTTTCTGACATACCAAATAATGCATTTCGGCAAGCGGATGTTGCCATATAGCCATTTCCTGATTTACATCAAAACCCATGAAAGCTAAGAAGATGGTGAGCTTCAGAAATAACCGTGACACTTCCGGTGACATCTGTGAGTGGGCAATACGCTACTTGAATGCTAAGAAAGGGCATGCACCTATGTAAGAAATTAGCTTACCACACCAAGCAATAGAACCCTCTGGTGCACCACTTGAATGAGGAAGAAATGAAAAAGGGCCGATGCAAAAGGAAATACAAAAGCACCACACCAAGCAGTACGTTTAACTATACTAATTTATCTTCATGTTTAGCTAGATCTGAACATCTCTACTTACTGTCATCTTCCTTTTCGTATGTAATATAAAGGAGAGTGGTACTGGATAAAATGCTACAACCAACAAATTTTAAAATTATATGCACCCAACACAGCAAAAGCTATGCACAGCAATAACCCAAAATGTCCTATTAACAGCTGAACATGGCATCGATCAAAAAATTCATCCATCCAAAAGTATTACATGTTGTAGTTTCCTAAATCTTTAATACATAGCGACAAAAGCTAGATGCACATTAATAAAGCTAGTGGGAGGGCATTCGATTATCACAGGAAACAAAACAAAAAACTAACTTACCAGAATAACAACCTCAAAAAATAAACCGTATCTCAATGTACAGGTAGAAACAGTTCTGCATCAATTATTCATTCCAGGGCAATAACAACCGAGTTCCATGTTGAAATGTGGAAAATCACATTCAGATACATCATCAGAAACTTTGTTCTTTATCAAGTAATTCTACAACAATGCTCGCAAGACACATTTGAAGACTACCTACACTGGCAGGAAAAATGATCACATGAAACGTCCAAGCTATAGATGATCTCCTAACGTGGTCTTGCCATCCGGTTCATTTCCAGCAGTTGTGTAAGAGACACAGAACTCCATCTTTCAGTTCCCTCTTGAAGTTGCGCATAGAGTAGTCGCTTGACAGAGTCTATGCAAATGCTCACGGTGCCAAATTCGTACACTGGCATGCCGTTATAGGATTTGTTAACTCTAGGCATAAACAACAAACCTTGGTCAGCCGCATATGCCTGAATAGACTCCTTGAAGCTCATATCTCCCATGGCTGCTCCTGGCGCAGCATGGTAAGATGGGTATTGCGATGCTTGCTGTGCTGCATCAAATTGCCGCTTCTCTGTTGCTCTCAAGAAGCCAACATTCTCCCTAGCCCCTGGCTGCGCCAACTCATGTCCTTCAGCAGCTTGGTTCATCATCTCAAGACCAGCCGTTAGAAGCATCCGTATGCGTTCATTGGCAAGTAACTCTGGTGGGAAAAGGCCCCTCCAGCCCTTATACCAATTCATGATCTCATTGAAATCAGGATTTGGTGAGCTCAACCAATGGTACAAAACCAGCTGCCACTTGCTAAAGAAATCAACTTCCAACATATGGACCATATGGTGTACCGGGACAGCAGAAGCCCAAATCATAACCCAGTTAAACTGGTCAAACTTCTGGCTTGCTGGGTTAATCTGAAACTCCTGGAGTGCCATTTTCAGTTTAGGAATGATATAACGCACTATCAAGTCTTCCCAACTTGCTGGATCAAATACACCCTTCCATGGAGATAGCACAGCATAAGCTGATGAATCGTGAGCTTGCCACAATTGGAGGACACTACTCAGCTTGTACCGGATAGAGTGGCACAATGTCTCTATCCTTTGCCCTAGAGTTGGCAACCATGGGTGTACCCATACATGGATTGGTACACTCTCGCTCCGCGGGTCCCAAGATTCGACTGCAGCTGTGAGCTTTGGCATTATTACATGCTCCAATATTGAATGGAGCACGATAGGGGGCAGCAACCGTTCCCATGATTCAAGAAAACGGAGCATTGGTTCTGGATCCCTAGCCTTCCATGAATTAGTTCCTGATATCCGCACAGCTGGTAGGATGACCTCACTGACAAGCTGTGCATATGGAGCCATTGATTCAGTAGCATCTGAGAAATCATATGGCTGGTCTCCCTGCAGCAAATCCTTCCACGATGACATGACCTCCAAGCCAAACAATGGATTCTCCAGCGGTTGCCACCCCTGAAATACCCGGATAAGTAGTGGATGCGCAAATCGGCAAGCAACCCATGCAACACTGCACATTTTGAACTCCTCCTCATAGTGCACCTTCAATTCCTGGAAGGTCTTAAGCAACCCCCCCAGAGTGAGCAAACCAGCGGTGTCATCAACCCGGACCTTCTCCAGCACATCTGCAATTGTCTCCATAACTTGCAGCTGGTGTTTCTGCAAAGCCTCCTGCTTTGCTACTTTCTCCTTCTCTCGCACCAAACTAGCCACCTTCTCCTGCTCCCGCCGCAGCTGCCCATCCAACCTGACAATATCAGCCTCAGTCTCGTCAACAAGCAGCCGCACATTGTACTGCAACTCCGGCATTGGCACATCATTCGCCTCCATCTCATGTTCAGTACTGAGCCCCTTCAAGTCTGTCAACACACGAGCCTGAGGCCCTCGCATGTCAATCACCTTTTGGACAAATGTGGGTTGCTCATCCTGTTCCTGCTCGGCGCG